CTTCTGAGGTCCCAACTCTTCTCACTATTTCTTAGTTGTTGGAATTGACGGAAAACCTCATAAGCACTTCCTTACTTCACCTCTGCCTTACATGCAGACTTCCGAGTTGTAAAACAACCCAGCGGTAGATGGAATTTGCTACAGGACTTAAGAAAATTAAATGACATAGTTGAGCCTCTACATCTTGTGGTTCCTAACCTTTATACTATAACAGACAAAGTGCTAGTCAATAGGTAATTTATTGTAAGAACTACCTTCCCTCTGTAACTTGATTTGTGCCACTATTAGAGCCTCTGCTTGGAATGTTATTGCTTTTTAATTTTGGACTCATGTACTTTTAACTTGTTAAATTTGTGTCTTCTAGGCTGCAACACTTCCATGATGCATCTTCAAGTATATGAACATGTACGGCTAAGCACAATTGATAAAAATGCATCTAAATTCAAAATCAATCTCCATAATAGTCTATGTGTTTCCTATTGCCAAAGGGGCCCTTTAGAGTAGTGAGAGACGATCTTCACCTTGAAACCTACAGTGTCCCTTTTCAGCAGGAAGTAGCTAAGAGAATATGCTGTCCCCTTTTCCTTATGAATCAGGGTGAAGTCTCTCTCAGGGAGGTGTGATAGAGAATGACAAAGGACACACTGACAAAGGAGATTAATCAGAACTGTTTTTGACAAGCACTGTGACAATGGGACAATTAAAAGAGATTTTCAAGGGGGAAAAAAAGAGGAACGAACTGGGAGGGTAGGAATGAATGAATGGAAACCCAAAATCTCAGTAAATGTTCATTAAAATTAATAAAATGTAATAAAAAAACAAAAAAAAACCCCATCGATATTTGTCAAAGTTCATAGACTTTCTAGAGGTGTGTTACTTAGGAAATTGATGTCACTCCTGTTTCCAAACTTGTCATAGTATATTATTGTTGTTATGTGCCACTGAGTCGCCTGTGAAGTATAGTGACCCTATGTATAGTACCTCTGAATGCTTCCTTGTCCTGAGCCAGTCTCTGTACTTCTGACACACAACACAGTATACCTCCAGTTACTGTATCAATCCGTCTCATCTGGTGTCTCCTTCCCAAGTGCTGTCCATCCACCCTTGTAAGCATGATGTCCTCCTTCAAGGACCCATCTCTCCTCGCCATGCGCCCAAAGTAAGTTAGTTGGAGCTTTAGCATCCTAGCCTCCAAGGAGATACTTGGTTTCACCCTGAGACCGACTTATTCTTTTCTTGGCAGTCTGTGGTACGCTCAAGACTCTTCTCCAGCGTGACAATTTGAAGGCATCTATTCTTCCTCTGTCATCAGTAGTCATTGTCCAGCTCTCAGAATCATAACAAGTAATTAAGAAGACCATGGCCTGGAGTAGGTGCAACTTTGTGTCTAGACTGACATCACTCCTCTTCAGCACTCTGGAGAGGTCCACTTCAGCAGATTTCCCAATGCAATTTGTCTTTTGACTTCATGACTGCTGGTGTGAAGAGTGTTGATTATGGATCCAAGCAAGCTGTAACTGCTAACAACCTCAATCTCTTCTCCATCTAATATGATGTTGCCAACTAACCCAGTGGTGAGAATCTTTGTCTTTTTGATGTTGAGCTTCAATCCATATTGAAGACTACAGTCCTTC